AGTTTTTACAGTGAATTTACTGGTTTTTATTAGTTATTATTGCATTTTTAATGCTTAGTTTTAGTTTAGTTTAGTTTTACTAGTTCTAGTATTAGTTTTTTATAGTTTGAATAAACATATTTATCAATGAATCCTCCAGCTTGTGATGTTCCTGTGAGTTCACTAACCAGCAGATATTTGGTCACTAGTTAAAGCATCCATTATAGTGACACCTTCCTAAAATAATTGTGTAATTCATTTTTACCAACACTTAAGTTGTGGGGACCTGGCATTGGTCCCCACAGTGTAGGAAAACCCTGTCCACACACACACCAGGTGAACAGACGCAGGTCTTTATCATGTTCCTGTGTTGATGTTGGTCAGCTGGTTCTAACCGGCTGCACATTAAAAGGCTCATATCTGACCCACTCCCACTCCGACATGTGTTCTGGAGGTCCATAAAGTCCAGGTCTGAGGGGTCGGGTCCACTTGACCTCACAGGTTCCCCACCTGAGACCTGAGGAGCCTCCTGGACGTGTTAAACTCTTCCACACCTGGTTGGTCCTCTTCAGGGGCCTCAGAGCAGCTCACCTGTCCACCTGCGTAAAGTGAGGAAGAGTAGTGATGAAGAGGGTTTGAGTCTGGATGAAGTCAGACTTATTGTTTCTTCACAGATGAAGTTACTGAACCTGTACATCAAGCGAGCTCAGACCACCAACAGCAACAGCAGCAGCTCCTCAGATGTTTCCTCACACAGTTAACCTGCGAAGAGCCGCCAAGCCCCGCCCCCTGCTCCCCCGCCGCCGCCGCCGCTGGACTCACCGGACCTGCTCCCCTCCTCCATAAACTGCAGCTCTGCCATGTTCTCCTCCTGAGGTGGAGCTGTTCTCCTGTTTGCCCTGTCAGAGCTGGAGGAGGAGGAGGAGGAGGAGGAGGAGCCCCGCCCCCTCCACCCCCCAGGAGGAGACCAACAGTTTGTCATTTGGCTGGCCCAGTGATGGTAAGAAGATCAGACTGATCATGACTCGCTGCAGCTCCAGCTTCTCTTCTTTTATTTTATTTTTATTTTATTTTAATGAGTTTGTTGAAGAAAGCGTCTAAAAACACGACATCATAAACTGACAGATGAACTCTGACTTCCTGTTGAGAGAATTAAACTCTACARTCAGCTCGTTCTGAGCACGCTCACTGGCTCTGTCTGAGCAGGAAGTGACTGACTCCAGGATTTATATCCAATAAATTAGACTTTTTCAGATCATTTCAAAATAAAAGTGACGGCAGAAGAACTGAGGAGGAAGATGTTTGTTCTTCAGTTTTCAGATTAAAAGCACACTGACGTTCTCATGAACCCAACATTTGTTCTGTTTTATTCTCACTGCAGTTTAGGATTATTGGAGTTTTTTTTACTACAAAGTAAGATCGTTCCTGAAACGKTCTGAGAGCACTTCCTTCAGTCCTTCACAATAAGAGTCTTAAACGTACGTACTGAATCCCAGATCATCCAAAACTTAAATTATTATTATTTTTCTCCAGATGAACTTGTGTTCAAATCGTGTTTTGATGAATTATGTGTCTTTAAGGTAGACGTTTCTGACAGGATGTCTACAGGTGTGTTTGTTTACCTACAGAAACAGGAAGTGACTGAAACCAGGTCAAATGAAAGAAAAAACAGTTTTTAAATGGCTCCACATCATCGTCGTTTAACCCAGTTTCTTTTCTTTAGCAGCAGATTCAGAATAAATCACATAAAAAATCTGTAATCTTTAATAAATAATAATTATAATCCTTTAATTTAAAAGCTCAGAACCTTTCTACTCAAAGTTCTGCTTGTGTTTCCAGACTGAAACCAACCGTCTCTGTGGGTTCTATACCCATACCTCTGGGTTCTATAAAACATGACTCGGCAGGTCATTCTAGACTGTAAAACATGACTCGGCAGGTTAATCTAGGTTCTATAAAACATGACTCTGTAGGTCATTCTAGACTGTAAAACATGACTCAGCAGGTTAATCTAGGTTCTATAAAACATGACTCGGCAGGTCATTCTAGGTTCTATAAAACATGACTCGGCAGGTTAATCTAGGTTCTATAAAACATGACTCGGCAGGTCATTCTAGGTTCTATAAAACATGACCCAGCAGGTTAATCTAGGTTCTATTAAACATGACTCGGCAGGTCATTCTAGGTTCTATAAAACATTACTCGGCAGGTCATTCTAGGTTCTATAAAACATGACTCGGCAGGTCATAGTAGGTTCTGTAAAACATGACTCGGCAGGTCATTCTGGGTTCTATAAAACATGACTCGGCAGGTCACTGTAGGTTCTGTAAAACATGACTCGGCAGGTCATTCTGGGTTCTATAAAACATGACTCGGCAGGTCATAGTAGGTTCTGTAAAACATGACTCGGCAGGTCATTCTGGGTTCTGTAAAACATGACTCGGCAGGTCATAGTAGGTTCTGTAAAACATGACTCGGCAGGTCATTCTGGGTTCTGTAAAACATGACTCGGCAGGTCATTCTAGACTGTAAAACATGACTCGGCAGGTCATTCTAGACGCTATAAAACATGACTCGGCAGGTCATTGTAGGTTCTGTAAAATATGACTCGGCAGGTCATTCTAGACTAAAACATGACTCGGCAGGTCATTCTGGGTTCTATAAAACATGACTCGGCAGGTCATTCTAGACTCTGTAAAACATGACTCGGCAGGTCATTCTGAATTCTGTAAAACATGACTCGGCAGGTCATTGTAGGTTCTGTAAAACATGACTCGGCAGGTCATTGTAGGTTCTGTAAAACATGACTCGGCAGGTCATTGTAGGTTCTGTAAAACATGACTCGGCAGGTCATTCTGAATTCTGTAAAACATGACTCGGCAGGTCATTCTGGGTTCAGTAAAACATGACTCGGCAGATCATTTTGGGTTCTGTAAAACATGACTCAGCAGGTCATTGTAGGTTCTGTAAAACATGACTCGGCAGGTTAATCTACGTTCTGTAAAACATGACTCAGCAGTAAAAACCTGCACATCCACACCTGATGTTTTTGTAAATACACTTTCAGCCGCTGCTCCACAG